CCAGGAGTACACAAAAATACATTTGTACATTTTGCCATCTGATTTGCTCTATGGTTTCGCTACATGTGGAGAATGTCGCAAATTACGTGCATCACCCAGACAGAGGATCCTGGCCAGATGCCCCCCAGCTAGAACCAATCATGTGGATCGAACACGCGGAGTCAAACATATTAGATATTGCTTGAATAAACTTTAAGACCTCGTAAAAACGCAATTAAGACTTTTTAATACCTTTTAAGGGCCTTAAATTTCTCATAATTGATTTATCAACTTTTAATACTTTAAGACACAGCGGACACCCTGTATTTGAAATGCCAGTCCTTGGTGATTCACAAAATGCAAGCCAAAGATTACAGGGACTATATTTATAAAAAAATAATAATAATAAAAAATAAAAATAAAAAAACGTACGAAGGCCAAATAAAATCAATACCTGTAAAATAAAATCCTAGAAAATAACAGTCCTGATAAGACACCTTTCAACACAAAACAACTGGTCTGAACGTTATTTAGAACATTATTACCTTTAACCCACAAGTTTGGCAATTGATCCTAAGCACAATCACAACAGACAGATTCAACAGACTGACCGAACCATTTTTGTGTGATTCATAAGGAGAGATGAAGCATTAGAAAACAAAAGAGAAAAAATAAAATAAACTGTTTAACACATTGAATTTAGAATGTAATCACTCCATTTGGATTTTTTAAAAATGCACTCAGTGCTGAAAATGCTTAATAAATGTATAAATAATTCTACAACCAGAAAAAAAAAAAACAAGATTAACGGCTTATTTGTAAGCCAAAGCACAATAATAGCTTGACCAACAATTTGATGGCGACTCATTCATGATGCAATGTAAGGCAAAGTGCAAAGAGCCTTATTAGGAATTTTGTCATTAAAGGCAAAAGAAACCAGATCAAACCAGTACATATTCATAGGAAGGTAGAAAAGAAGGCTTTCTTTCATTATTTTCCTGCATTTTTCTTTTAGTTTAATGGCTGGATTAGACCCCTGTAAAGCAGAGCACCTTTCAGGCGGCTTTTACATCCCCACCTCCAGTCTCCATAAAGAACAACCAGCTGCAATGGACCTTTAATTAGGACCCTGTTAGCGCACGGACAACCTACACACACACACACACACACACACACACACACACACACATCCACAAAAAGAGAGTATAATCAACCAAGTACAGTGCCCCTCATATTAAAAACAACGGATAAGCAATTCCCCTATTCCCATGGAAAACACTAGGCAAACTTGCCAAAAGGCAAACCTCAATCAACCTAAACCACCGGACTCCCCTTTTGAAAACAGAAGTTCCTTTTAATCATCCTGAGCTATGAAGTGGTCAGTTTTAGGCAATCAAAGAGGCGGCATGTGACACTGCCATATAGCTATTGCATGTAACAACCCTTACAGTGGCCACCTCACGTGAGGATGCATGAAACAAATTGGATTCATCAGTGCCGCTCGGATATAAAATGTTAAACAAATGTAAACACATCTGCTAATTTAAGAGGCCAAGTTCCTTAAAATAAAATCGACTTCAAAAGTCACTTCATGGTGGTTTGATTTTAATGGCTTGTCCGCCCATTTGTGGTTTCCTGATTCTAGAATTAGTTCTTTTCTTAAGTGACAAGATGGGTAAGAATTTTACAATGTTGGCAAACAAATCATTTCTGTTGGAGTCATGGCCTCGCAGTCACTGCACAGCTTCTGATATATACTGCTCATGGAAAGGATGTGAGTTTTAACAACAACAACAAAAATCAATACAATGTACACACCCAAAAATCATTTACACTGACAGTGATCGTTCATACAAGTATAGAAAATTTTTTTATTAAATTACTAACACTCAAGTCATGGATTACTTTAATGCTCAGCAGAAAAAAAAACATGAAATAATATAAAAAATAAAATACAAATGAGCAGCAAGTATTGTGCCAATTCAGTGACTACTGACAAATGTCAAAAACATAGAGGCAAACCAAAATCAATATATGTGCACAGAGAGAACTACAATTGTATAGTTCAACAAAGTGGTACCTACTTGTCCTTATCCCAAATGCTGCAATTTCTGCATGAAAAGTTACACACCAACAGTGTCAGCATGCGAGTTAAAATCCATACAGGGCCATTTGCTGAGATTGTGGTTTAAAGCAAAGTCTCTTTAAGGCAAGACATTTCACTCGGCGGCTATCTTTGAAATGCCGCTCAGGCAGTATGCTTGGGCATTTTATTTAAATGAAAAAACATCAAATTCTCCAAAACTGCTGGGAAAGCTTACGATTAAATTCCATATTACGAATAACCAATAAAATTAAACAACAACTGTCGATTTAGTTTAATTTCTAAATGTTCGTATTATACAAAATCTGCAGAAACTCACGTTAGGTCTAAGCCCCTTCCTCAAAGAGTTGCCATTATATAGCAATCTCTGATTGGCTCAAGTACTAGATAGCGAGTTTTATTCGCCATATAGCAATCGCTGATTAGCTCCTGTACTAAAAGGCCGGGTTTATATCGTCTAATTGATTGTTACACTTTACCCCATTCAAAAGTATACGAGTGACATGTCTTGTGTATTTTATAGTCTTAGTTTAAAGGAACAAAATTTAAGATTTGTTCATTAAAATTTCCAAAACCCACTAGAACGGTGTTTTACTTTACTTTTTTTTTTGTGTTTTACGGTGTATGACTTATGTACTGACGTTATACCAAAAGTGTGGAAAAGTCTGCAAATGTAGAAAAAAAAGCAATTGTAACTTGTGTCATCATGTTAATGATACACAGACTCGATTTCTGATTTGGTTTTATCCACTTGTTAAGTCTGATGTCATGTGTAGTGGTTTCTGGGTTCAATTGCTCTATCAAACTGGTAGACTCAACCCATGGCACTAATAAACGATTACTGCAATACTTTTGAAAAACCATGATCACAATATATACAGTGCCTATATACAGCCTGAAGTAAAATCATATTCCAAATAACTTTTCTAGCCTTTGAAATGTTTTTGTAGTTTTCTCCTAACCTGAGCCTTTCTACAACTTTAATCCGAAGGTCGTTTGAAGCAGGGTGTAATGTGAGTAAAGGTATACATTTTCACAGGGTATAATGATTTTCAATAGGCTAGGCATGGGACGATAACCGTCTTCAAGGTATACCGCAGTTTGGAAAAGTCAAGGTTTTAAAGCCACCAACATTTTCTGTAATATGGTTCCTAGGGTATGTGTAAGATTTTTAATTGTATTTTTTTAGGACAACAGTATCTCCACCAGACAAAAATCCAAAGATGCCGTTTTAAATTCTGTGTTTTTAAAACTAATGAAGACAGCAAAAGTCAATGATTTATTTGAATTATTTAGCCTGACATGTTTACTGCTCCAAAATATTATAAATCTTTTAAAAAATAAAATATATTGTGTTCAAAGGGAAAAAAAATGTATGTTAATTTTACCCAGACATTTAAAAAGACAATATTTTAGAGCAGTAATCACAATACTGTGATATTTTATGCATACAGTGTCTACTATAGGCACTGTATACACATTCCTAATGTAAGATGGCCAAAAAATGATTTATTTTTATAAATTGTTACAATTTTGGTGTCTGTGATGCAGCAAGTCCTGAGATTGTACCCCGAAACACTTTTGCATATTTCACGAGTTACAACTTAGACCAATAGAAAACAAAAACACCAAGGATGGCAGTGTGTGCATTTTTTAGACTGCACTACCATTTCCTACTACCATATGTTTTAATCGTTTACATGAGCACAATGTATTGAAGATGACAACTCCGATGATTCTACAATCAGTCAGAGAATCATCACACTATGGCTTTTATTTGGTTTTTATTTTATCCTGTGAATATACACATCCTCTTGTTTTTTTATAGATAACCATGGGACCAAAGTTCATGCGGAAAATCTACTTTAATGTTCCGCTGGACAATAAAAAAAAAATAGAAATCTATGAATTTCTGATGATATTTAAATGTTTTTGGCAAGCTATGCCTTTAAAGACAAAAATATTTTCTATGAAGTTTCAATCTGCTAGCTAGTAGCTATATTGAAAAAGAGAACTTTCTAATTTCTGCATATTAATGCAAAAGAACATTAAAATGCATCAAAATAACATTACACAGTTTCAATTTGCCTCCCTCTATGTAGAAAAAAAGAAATCACAAGGACTATTTTTTTCCTTTACTTTGGAACATTTTATGAGCTCTGTCATAATGACGTGCAAAAAGACAACATGAAAGGAACCCACAATGCCACATGTATCCAGCTCTTCACATTAGTTTCCTCTCTTAGCCAAACAGACTCAGCCATGCAACAAACTATCTATAGTCCAAAGCATTTGTTACAAATCAAGTAGGGGTTTACAAAATAGCATGGTATAGAAAGGGATGCAGACTACTATCAGATCTGCTAACGTTAGACACGGAAAAAGGCAGCCTTTGCCATATTGTAGTGTACTTTAATGTTCGCCTGACAAAATGTTTAAATGAATTGTGCTGAAAATGATTTATACAGATCATGTTCCTTCAACATAACAGATTTCAAAAGGTTCACAGAATCTTTCAATACACGATAAAGTAACAACTAAGTTACAGCTTACCTGGTTAATGACAACTTGTATTTTGTCACTATCTCCCTTGGTCTTTAACATTGTCTAGACTAGATTTTTAGTCTTCGGTGTGCAACGTTACGCTAAGATGGCTAAAATGCTGTATTAGTAGGCAGCTTACTAGAATTTGAGACGCAGACATAGACGACGACAACAACAACACAACCTTTATCTCTGTCCCGCTAACGTTAGATATGACATGACTTACATATAAAACAAACAACGTGCTCAATACTACATATATTTTAACGACAGTTTTAAAATACTTGTCTGATAACGTTACATCTGCAAACATATATCCAGACGTATATGATAACGTTAACCGCGTTTGTAAAAAGAACCTTCTTCAACTCACCATCAAGTCCGCGTTTTTTCCAATCCGTATATTGGCATTCTTCTTCATGTGGTGCTTCAGGGCTGCTCTCGGTGCTTTCTTCGACATTATTGGCGGCGTGAAAGGCGTTTTATTCAATAAACGTCTAAAGTATCGCTCTCTGCTGTTTGTTTATGACTTATTCAAAATATCGCGCGTTTCACTACCGGCTCCTGTTGATGACGTGTATAGCCCTCAGTGGTTGTTCTCGTCAGCAACGCGTTGTGCGTGATTACGTCACATTTGAAGAAAAATTGAACGTGAAAATTCTTTAGCTTGGTCGTTACATCATATTCATCATTTCTTTTGGCGTGAATATAGGCTAGGCTATTAAATCAAAGGCAGACTTTCACACTATTCTGTTATGTTTTATGAACAAGTTACACTACTTATCCAATTCTCCCCCAAATTAAAGAACTTCAGTTATCAAAAGAATTCCTGAGATTAACATTTCACTCATTCATTCATTCATTCATTAGTCCCTTTATTAATCTGGGGTCGCCACAGCGGAATGAACTGCCAACTAATCCAGCATATGTTTTCCCATCACTGGGAAACATCCATACATGCTCATTCACACACATACACTACGGAAAATTTAGCTTAGCTATAGCACATGTGTTTGGACTGTGGGGGAAACCGGAGCATCCATAGAAAACCCACGAACACGGGGAGAACATGCAAACTCCACACAGAAATGCCAACTGACCCAGCCGAGGCTTGAACCAGTGACCTTCTTGCTGTGAGGCCATCGTGCTACCCACTGCACCACCGTGAGACCATAAAAATTAAATATTTAGGATAACTCTAAAACCACTGAGCATTATGTCTACAATTGCATCTACTCAAAGTTATTTTGGGTTCATGTACATGACAGAATGCCTCATGTCAATATTCATGTAAACTCTTTTTGCTATAAAGAAGTTAAATTTGATAAAACTAAAGAAAATAGTAAACAGCATTACCTGGTTAATAACCTTTTTATGCTTTGCAAAATTCTTCACTTCTTTGTTACACTTTATGAATGAACTTGCTATTTTGGCTTCATCACTTACTACTTTGTCAAATGATAAAGCTACTGAAGTAGCTACTTTTTTCTGTGAAATTTTCACTATAGCTCCTTCCCAACCCTTTAAAGGTTTCTTTTATATAAACATTTATAATTTATTTATTTTTATTCATTCATTCATTCTTTCATTCATTAATTTATTTTCTTTTTAGCTTAGTCCCTTTAATAATCTGGGGTCGCCGCAGCGGAATGAACCGCCAACTTATCCGGCATATGTTTTACGCAGCGGATGCTTTTTTAAAATAAGCTAAACTATCACAATTCGTGAGTTTTTTGGGGGACAACTTAATTGTTTTATGTTCAATTGACTTACATTTGTAAAAACAATTAAGTTAACTTAATTGTTAAGTTATCTGTGTTGGGACAACATGAAGGAATTGTGTGGAACACAGCATTTTTTTACAGTAAAAGTTAGACTTTTATTTTATTGTTCTGTTTTTGACTGATTGATTTTACACAAGTTCAATTTAAAAATCTTGTTTTGACATTTCCAAGGTAGTAAAGAATTTTTAGTTGTTAAAATTATAAAATATTTAATTCCTTTTGAAAGGTCATTCGTTCATTCATTTTCTTTTCGACTGAGTCTTTATTAATCAGGGGTCGCAACAGCCGAATGAACCGCCAGCCTATCTAGGATATCTTTTACACAGCGTATGCCCTTCCAGCTGCAACCCATCACTGGGAAACACCCATACACATTCATTTATTCACACACATACACTACCCAACTTACCTGCAGCGCATGTCTTTGGACTTTGGAGCAGGAAACCTACGCCAACACGGGGAGAACATGCAAACTTCACACAGAAGTTTGGGCCAACTGACCCAGCCGAGGCTTGAACCAGCGACCTTCTTGTTGTGTGGCGACAGCGCTACCCATTATTGCAAATTACTTTTTGTTTGACAGATAGACTAACATTTCCATAACTTCAAAATAATAATAATAACAATTCTAATATACCAAGAAATCATAGCCCTGTACAAAATGCAATACAATATACATTGTTATTCACTTCTTTTCAGGTACTTTTTTTGTCCCCTAAACTGAAAGAATGTAAAACATCTGCAAAGCATTTGTTGAATTAAAAGTAAATTAATATATAAGATGGAGCTGGACTGTTGCCAGATCTTTGAGTCCACTTTAATGGCACATGTTTTATAGTTTCTATTAATTGCTCTGGGCTTTGGCATTTGGCTAAGGTTAAAATGAAAGAGAGAATAGCTCCAGGCTCTATTCATCTTATTAAAATGTATCAGCTAGGCTAATTCCTACTGTTATAACGTATAATGACAAATTATTTTTAACTTAAATGGAGCAAAAAATGTGTTTTTTAAACATTTGTTCAGCTCATTCTTTTATTTGTGCATATGGTCCTTCCCTCACTGATACATTGTAATGCAAAAGCAACCGAGCTGTTAAGAAACAATGTGGTCGCTGTAATTGAAGACATATTTTTAGGTGTTTATTGCATGTATATATATTTTTAATTTTACTCTAACCTCAAAATGCCACTAAAACAACATCGTTTGCAAGCGTGGGAGCAGCAAAGAATGGAGAAACAGTTCAAAGGACTGATTAGTGGTAGTTCTTGTTCTGGTATTTCATGTGGGTTTCATTTACAGATTGCTGAAATCTTTCGCATCGAGACATTTTAAGAACTGAATACACAATCAGATATTTTCAGCTGGAGGGATTTTGCAATTACATGCATAAGTGCACAAGTAATTTCACTTAGAACTAGATCCAAAATCGCAAATACCAAACTGAATACCTGCCATATTTTTATAAGACTAAATAAATTATACTGTGTACAAGAGCTTAAAACACCATGGTCAGCATAAGAGTTAACTTCAAAATAAATGTACAACAGTGATTTTATTTACACTTTATTTCAATTGCAAGAAGTACCTACTTTAGGCATGGGCTGGTATAAGATTCTGACAGTATGATAACCAGAATAATATAAAAAATATCTCAGTATCGTGGTAACTGCTCTAAAATATTTTTAAATGTATGAGCAAAAAAAAAAAAAGGAACATTTTTCCCATTGAACACAATATATTTTATTTTAAACATTTAAGATATTTTGAAAGAGTAATCTGTCATGGTCCTGACTTGACAGTCTTCACAACAAAATCCTGAGTTTACTCTGTTTAGACCAGGGATGGGCAAACTCGGTCCTGGAGGGCCGGTGACCTGCACAGTTTAGCTCCAATACTCATCAAACACAGCTGAACAAGCTGATCAGTGTCTTCAAGATCACTAGAAATCTACAAGCAGGTGTGTTTGATTAGAGTTGGAGCTAAACTGTGCAGGACACTGGCCCTCCAGGACCGAGTTTGCCCACCCCTGGTTTGGACAGTATTTGGTCCCTCTCTAAATTGAGTTAAAGTTACTCAAGTTAATAAAAAAATGAAAAGATTTAAATATGATGATTGAGCACTGATGATGAACACCTGCTGTTAATGAACAAACACAGGAGAAACACAAAACTACACCTGACTTCAGTTGCAGCCATGAAATCAGCTGAATTATAATACATTGAATCTCTTAAGATCTCAGCAGAAGATCATCAAGCAACTCCACAGACAGCCGCTTTACTTTTTACCAACCTGTTTGCTCTTATTTAAAGAGGGACTAAATACTCTCTGAAGTGAGTAAATTTTACTCAGAGGATTTTGTTGTGTTGCCTGTTCAGTTAATGTTTACCTGTTCATCCTGTGCTTGTTTACATGTGCTGCATCTCAATTCGCATACTATCCATCCTAAATAGCAACTGAAATAAGAATGAACATGTCCCAAATCATAGCATATTGAAAAGAGTATGCCAAAGGATCAGTAGCTTTTGATGATCCTTTGCTGTTGAAGATATTGTTGCCCTAAAAAAACGTCTTTGGCAACAGGTGAAACCAACAACATCAAAACAAATAAAAAAAACTTACATGAACAGTATAACATTTTTTTGGTGGTTTTAAAACCTTGAATTTTCCAAACCGCTGTAAACTTTAAAACCGGTTATCGTCCAATGCTTTGTCTACTTCACTGATTTCAAATAATGTAAAATGTCAAAATATTATAATGATAATAATATCAGATGCAATTTTGGGTTTAATGAATTTACTATTATGAGACTGAGTACAATGTTAATGTTTGTCTAATAATTATAATTATACGAATGACATTTTGACAATTTGTCTTTCAATATGTCTTTTAATAATAATAATAATAATAATAAAACATTATTGCTCTAAAAATGCCTGACCAGATTTTTTGGCATATAAACTATTATTACAATGAACAATCCACATAAAAAAAAAAAAGACAAAGACAAAGAAATCTATATATAATTTTTAAAGATTTTGGTATTATTGTTATTGTTTATTTATGCTATTAAAATGCATTATGGGACCTTGATCTTTCCTCCAACATCTTTTAATGTTGAAAAGTTTGAAAAAGTCACTTTTGATCGAACATTTTAATAGTTTGAAGTGGCATATCTTCTGTATTGGTACAAAAACCTGGTAATAAACTGCCAAGATTTTTTCAGTTATTTTTATATACTGTACAGAGGGGAGAAAAGTATTGAACATGTCACTATTTTTCTTAGAAAACATACTTCTAAAGGTGCCATTGACTTGACATTTTCACCGGATGTTAATAGCAACCAAAGAAATCCATATGCAAAGAAAACAAATCTGATTAGCTTACAAATTAAGTTGTGTAATAAAAAAATAGTGCAGGGAAAAAGTATTGAACACATAAAGAAAGGGAGGTGTAGATAGACAATGAAAGGCAAGACAGCAGCTTAAATATCTTAGTAGTTATTCAGCAACCCTCTGCCCTTAGTTATTGTAAATGAATATCAGCTGCTTCAGTCCAACATCTACATTGCCAGGATGATAAAGATGAAACCAGAGTGGACATTTCAGCAAGACAATGATCCGAAACACAGCAAAGGAAACACTTAAATGCTTTCAGAGAAAGAAAATCAAGCTGTAGAATGGCCCAGCCAATCACCTGACTTGAATCCAACAGGGAATACAAAATAAAGATCAGATTTGATAGACGAGACCCACAGAAGCATCAAAATGTTTACACTCTGTTAAAATCTTTGAAGAAAATTACACCTGAGCAATTCATGTGACTTCAAT